GGTACATTCAGGACTGGTGTGGCTGTTTGCCTTTCATTCTTCCAGGTATTTCTCAGGACCATCATAATGCCAGACACTGATCATCTTTCTAGGAGACCTCACCTCTTACTGAGCAGCAAAGGAGATGGGGCACATGCTTGAGAGTTATCTACTGCTGGGATTCAATAAAATTATATAAAATTGATCTTTTTTTTTAAATTCAGAGAAAACAAACAAGATGTTTGGTCAGCTCTAGACCTAGCGTCTGGTCATTGGCTATTTTTAGGATGCAGACCAAAAAACTTGATAGAAAAGCTTATGCCTCAGGGCTGTGAGATGAATCTGTAGCCTTCAATCTGCCTTCCTAATAAGCTGGAATTAAATCCATAAAAATCCATATATTTTCACATGTACTGCCAAAAACCTACTTTGCAGGGGTTTAGCAGCCACAGCAGCAGTGATTGCTTGAAGAGAGAAACTGAGGTTCCCCACATGAACCATGGAAAGAGTCTGTCCGCAGACGAGGGCTCTCCAAAAGCCAAAAGGCTGCGTGAACCTGAGATACTGAGTACAGGTGGATGCTGTAATACACTCCTTGAGAATCCAAGCATTTAATCACTCTAGAAAGGCAGTTGGCTGGCACTCATAGTGAAGATATCTGCTGTAAAAGAAAGCATCCTGGCTTGATCTGTTATCCCTTGTCACCATGAACCCCTTTTGGTGTTGGCGATCGCACTGTGCCCAACTGAATTGTTTCCTCAGTTGTATGATGATAAATGGGAAGTGGTGAGCAGGCTTTGACAACATCACATTTCGGTTTAGTGCAAATCGAGCTATGGGTTAATTGAAGTTGCTAAAGTTTGTTGTTTATTTTTAAGGAAATGGAACAGAATGTGATTTGCTGAAGTTTTACAATTGTGTTTATCCTGCAGTCTGTAAGTAATAAATTCATATTCATATTTTCTAAGCCAATTCCAAATAGTAGACAATATCTAGCAATTAAAACAAAATACCAAAAGCAATACTGAACTACATCCCAGTTCATTTAGTATTCTGAAAATAGAGACTAGACAGAATGTGGTGTTGAATGAGATGATCTTTAAGGTCTCTTCCAACTCAAACCATTCTATGATCAAATAGATGCCAGTTAAAAAAAATTCACATAAAAATTCATTTTAGCAATGAGAAACAGATCAAAATGGAAGACTGTTCAACTAATCTGTTTTCAGTTTTCAAGCCTCTGGCTTGCATTTTGCGAGTTCATGGTATTTTTCTTCTAGCTCCAATACACATTGGAGCTGTAAAATGCATTTTGTATTCTTTTTGTTTTTTTCTGACAGAAAAGTGACCAGCACAGTAATTACAGGTTTGTGAACTGATAGAAAATGTAATTCAAAATCATTGGACATTAAGGTTTTATCTTTTCAAAAGTAAAATGGATTATATGTTTTCAAAGCGCTCCAAACGCAATTCATTTCCATAAGCAAATAATCTGCACACAGGAGATATGAAATTTGTACGTCACTGCAACAGACTTTCTGGAAAATACTGCCAATGGTAATCTGAGAAGTAACTTCTCATAAACCTCAGAAAGCCTCCTTTTTAATTGTTTTGGATTTTGCTATGTAACATGGCTCTCCTTTTCCAAAGGAATGGATGATTAAGATACCAAGTAGATTTAAAAGTTTTGGAGGTCCTATGTGGGGCTTTATTTCCGTTTTGTTTAGGTGTGTGCAGCATTCAGGCTATATGTAATACTAATTGCTATTTCTTTTTCCTGTGACTTTTTTTGAAATAGATCCCACTAAGTTCACATTCTAGATAATCATGATCTTAGATAGCCTGCCATGGTGGAAATAAGTATATTATTTTACTTATTTTACCTAGCCTCCTCAGAGAAATGGCTCTCCACTTTCAGGAGCAGCCAGACCTGCAGAATATTGTGACTTCTCTTTGATATTTGAAGAAACAAAGCTGTCCCTAAGCCCTCTTAAGTGTCTTAACCCTAATTATCAAATGGCAAGCAGGGGTTCAGGTAAAGTGAACTTAGCTTACAAAGATTCTTACGTAGTTATCAGATGATGGTAAACTACAACAGCAATTGCTCTGGAAGCTGTTTCTGTGCACTGAAAGGAGCCAGGCAAACATCAAGGCATCAAGGCAAGGGATTATATATCTAGGTGTGTAACCAGAAAGCTAACACAGAGCATGGAAAGCCTTCTGTCGTCCTACCATTTAACTGTGGATGAGAAATAATCAGCATACAAAGTCCTAAAGAAGGCAGAAATACTTACAGATGCTGAATTTCTTTGAGAAAAGTGACCAAAAAATCTCAGCCCTTATTACTGTGCAGCAGTTTCCCAACGACAAATTACAAATACTTATTCGTTCCTTCAAAACTGGTAAGTATCCAGTTTTCTAAGGATAATTAACCCATATCTTTAACAAAGAGAGTTTAGAGCAATTTTGGAATTCTAAAAGACGAGGTCTTAAAACCTTATGCTTTTAAAGAGCCCTTATGCAAACTCCTTCTTCTGAAATTTCAGATGATATAGAGGTCAAAGGACTATGTACAGTAGGAACCCACAACTCCACTTGCCCTGCCCCATGTGAAGAAACTGATTATCCTACCACTGTCACCTATTCAAGTTTTGTAGGAGAAAAAGCCATTAAATACCTCTCAGCAAAACTGAAGAAAAGCCCAGACTATATAAGGTAATCTTTCTTAACACCTTGTCCAATAAAGAAATGTCCAGTTACTTAAGTGTGCTAACAGAGTGCATGATGTAAATAAGATCTTTTAAAAAGATACTCTGATGTGTGGGTATTAATGTTGACCGTGAGATAAAACAATCTCTTAGACAAAATTGGTTAAGATTTATACATATTCACATAGACAAAATATATTTAGATACATCTAAGACTTGTGGATATCATAAAATAGTTACTGCAAATTAAAAGTACTGTTCTCAATTACCGTCTGTCATTGATCTCTTATCACAAAAAATTATCATTTTTGCAACTAAGACTAAAGAAAGGGCGAGGTTATCAAATCCATCCACAATTCATGTGAGCAGTCTATCTAATAGAGAAGACAAATCTTCACCCTCTCATAACTGAAGTCCATGAACAACATAAATAGATGCTATGTAAAGTTGTTCTCCTTTCTCTCAACCCATGCCCAAAGGAAGCTTCATAGGCATGGAAGAGTTAGGTTTTATCGCAGCAATAATGTCACAAGTTTATCATACTTTTCTATCAATAACCAAAGATATTAATCTTTTGAGGACGTTTTATCTTTGTGGATTATTTTATTGTCTGCAAACATCACGCACAACCCAGTAATACTCAATTAAGCATGTGAAAATACAGAACATTCCCCAGTTACCAAGCCTTAACCAACAGGAGGTTACCAGGACTTAACCAGCCCACATATTAACAAGTGCATATTCCAAACTATAAAACATAGAGATATGTTGTTTTCTGAAGATGTAGGAAGAGAAAAGTTAAATATTCATTGGATAGTTCTGCTGGTAACTGCATAACAACGGTAGGAAGTCTTATTAATAGAAGATGCGAGGATAAGGTTATTTTCATTACTCAGTGCTACCTGAGCTTCAGAATTGTCACCTGAAGACATACAAGTAATTATTTTGTATAGCAAACACTTTATTTTCAGTGAATATTGTTAAGGAGCTTATTATCACTGTCAACCTAAAAATCTGTATCTGTTAACACTTCTGAGGAATAATCACTACTTTCATTCTTCAAGGTCACAACATTAGGCATGCAATCAGTTTGTGTCTCTGTTTTATGCCACAACCCATATGTCTATATTCTATTTAGGAGTTATGCAGAATCTTTCTGTAGACACAGCACCATAAAGATGAGCTCTTTACTCACACCGAATCATGCCACAGGTCTTGCTCCAACTGAGATTTACCTACTCTTCCACTTCAGCAGTAGGCAAGAATATAATTGGGTAAGCAAGGCCATTAGCAGAGGATAGAGCTGAATGTCCAAGTAGAGGACAAGGGCTCTTCTGCACAAACTCCCTCATTGAAGTCAGCAGGATTAAATCACTCTAGTCTAGTTGTTCTTTAAAAGACACCATCACTCTCCATGAGCCCAGTCCATGCGGAGAGGTTGGTAAAAATGAACAGTTCTCCCAACTGCCTCAGGTAATACTGTGTGTGTTTGTCATTAGGCAGAACCTTGTGCGTATTGACATTAAATATCATGATCTGAGCTACAAAATTACACAGCAGCAGAAGGCCATGACTATATCCGAGTTGCTTGGTAAGTGAATGTTTAATATATATTGCTGACTAATTATTAATCTGAAAATAATTCAAAAACAAACCAACTTGGATTTCTATTCTCACCGCTCCTGAGTCATAGCCTATGTGGGGTTCTCAATAAAAAGCAATGACTTTTACATGATAATGGCAATCATAGTGTTTGCCTCATGCTCATTTTTGATACTGTCATCCCGTTAAATGACCTAAGTATGGACAGCAGCTGAGAGCAAGAGTTAAATTTGGCACCAGTTTATAGCTGCATCACACACAAGACTGTAAGAACAGTGAAGTTTATGGGATATGGAGGACAGAGGGAGAACATGGGGAGGAGAGGCAAGAGAACAGTTAAAAAGGCATAGAAGTAGGAAATATTTTAAGTATCTGTTTCACAGTACGATATGTTGTGTTGCACTTGCTTTATTTAGAATTTTAAGAAACACATTTGTCTTCTCCAATAAACATTCTTAAGAATATTAATTCTGTTTTCTTGAAGTGATGGATTATGTATATTGAATTTATCTAACACTTGAGCCCAGCAGGGTTTTGTTTGCTTGCTAGACTAAACCACATGCTTGGGATGACAGATGTTTATTTCCCTTTACTACAGCTGAAGTAGGAGGCCAGCTTGGACTGTTCTGTGGTGCCAGTTTGATTACAATCATAGAGCTGCTCGAGTATATTTTTACCAACTTCTGCTGGATGTGCACCTTCCTGCTATTGAAAGCTCCCGAAATGCCTCAGTGGAACAACCCATCCCAGAACCAACCAACGCACAAGGAAAAAAAAATGGGAATTCAAGAATGTTAGTGGCTTCGAGAAGGACAAAAAGACAACTTGCAACTTCCTTCTTGAGATACAAAGACAGTAATATTTCGTGTTGCTCTCTTCCCTGTATTCCTTATTCCTCCTGCTTCTTTCATTGCCTAAAACTATTTAACTGTGCAAGATAACTTTAAAGAGTGAACTTTGGAAAGTCTCACTTTCTCCCTCATGTAAAAAAAAATGTACTACTCACATAAAAGTTTACTTTAAAGAATCACCAATGATTTTTAAGCAGCACAGCACGTGATACTGACATACAACGCAATTTAGCATTTCTGACCCAGTTTATATCTTCTGTATTTTGACTGAGGAGAAATAATACGCATGCCAAATTAACGCACACAAAGTTTCTTAAGCCCTGAGCCAGAAAATTATGTTTTTGGAAGTAGAAATTGGGTATTATCTGCCTTCTGGGTAAGAAGAAAAGCAGGGGAAAGATTAAACACAGCGATCTAGCACACTTTGTGTTTCACAGATCAAAGCGTTTCGTAGCTGTCACTCACAATGATTTTGTCTGTTTCTACTAATAAGGGCTAAATAAAGGAAAATTAGTACTGTAAGGACTAAACAAAAGAAAACTGGTATTGTTTCTGCTGTGCTGGAAGTTCGGGTAAAATGAAGCACACAGCATGCTAAAGAATCAGCAAAAAACCAGCCAGTTCTCAGAAAGGGAAGGTGAAACTAAGCAAAGATGCAAGCAGAGAACTAAAATGACTTCTGCTTACTCCACTGACTTTGGCCAAGGACAGCCAAAATCACTGCATGGTTACAGATTCTTCTAACACACGTGGCAGAAGGAGCTCTGCAGAAAGCACACACACTGATGCTTTGCCCAAGGTCAAGTTAAAGACTTAGATGTGTGTTTTCAGCAACGGCTTGTGATGAGGTTATATAAAGCAATTGATTCCCCAGCACAGCCAAATATAGCAAGTGTGCTGCGCAGCAGAGCAGAAGTAAGGGTGCTTTTGTACTTTGATGGATGACTACTGTGCTATTAAGGTGACGATTTTTAAAAGTTTTAAGAAAATATTTGGCTTTAGTGGATAGGTAAAGATGATTTATCTATGAGGGCAGCCAGAAGCAAGGTATTTTAACCGCTTGATTAGATCATCTCCCAATTTAGCATTTCTTTGCTGCTTATTTGTTTGCTTTCCCTCTTCACAAATGCAAAACCATGCTCCAAGCACAGATACCAGCAAGCTTTTCCCACACTAATTGTTTGATTCTAAAACGTGAATCCTAACATCAAAATTAGGGACATGATTAGGAAAGGCCCCTTGGGCTGCTTCCAAACCCTCGTCTGATGAGCACAAAGAGATGCAACACAGAATTTAGTAGCTAGAAACACTTCAGCCTGAAGATGACACCCTCCGATTGGCCCAAAGCAGTAAGTGGTGCACAGCAAATGAAATAAAAATGGAACATTTTTAAATGCACGCTGCAAAAGTCATCAAAGTTTATTTAACACTGTTGGGAATATCACGCTGCTCCACACAACATTTTCTGAAGAACGGAGGAAGGCAATTGGATTGTGTGGATAACCACCTGTGTTTGGTTGCTTTGGATTTTTTATCCATAGAGTATTGCTGTGTCGTCTCACAAACTGTATCCATTTTCACACCCTTGGGCAGCAGGTCAGAGGATCAAAGTAGCTCCTGGCACAAGGAAGAGGGTTGTATAATCTCTCAGACAGACAGCCTGCCATGACAGAATGGCGTGGGGGCTGGAGGTTGTTAAATCACATCTTTGGGCAAGTTTTCTTTAGCTCGTTACCTTTCTTCTAAGTTATTTCACAAAGGCTACTATTGCAATGTATGTGGCAGACATCTCTAAAGGAGTGCTAGAAAGGGAGGATTTATTTAAGGATAAACTGCAATTTTGGCCAAAGCACTCAGTACACTGGCCTGGCACTTGCTTATCTGACAAAGCAAAATGAACAGGGAATTGCCTGTACAGGAGAAGGATTTGGACCCGACTTTTCACATAGCAGATTAATTCACTGCATCATCTCACCAGTAGATGCCCCACAGACCTTAGGCTTCCCCTGCTCCCAAGCCTTCTCAAGTGTGAAGTTGATTTTACTTATTACAGAATTACTCAGTATAAGTTGAGTCAGATTACTTCCTTCTGATCAATGATGTATGAGCTGCAGCAACATTTCAAAGGAGTTGCTGGCAAACCTGATGTTACTCAGCCTGAGCTGAGTGACGGCGCCTTTGCTCACATTTAGAATTATTTCTGAGGTAAACAAACAAAAAAAATATACAGACATACCCATTCTGCATCAAGATAAGCTGATCAAAGTATCTCTCTGAGCTTGTAATAGTCGGCTGATCTACTGTTGCTGAAGAAAGTGCTGGTTAAGGCAAAATAAGAATTTACTCAACCAACTCACCAATACTTTATGCTGAAATTATACAGGAGAAAAGGAATAACCCTATACAATCACTCAAGTTTGAAGTTGTACCTGCCCGCTAGCCCTAATACAACTGTTTGCACTGTGTGAATCTGTTTCTGCTAAAACTCTGCAAAAGCTGTATTTCTCACCTGAGCAGTGTCCCGTGGCTGCAGGATACAGCCCCATTGGTTCCTTACAGCTCCTTTTCAGCTTAGCATTGCTCTGGGGTTGCTCCACACTTTGGAAATCCAAGATTCATCATGCGATTCTATCAAATCCCAAACCATCATGGTTCACTCATCCTGCCTGCCAAAGTGCACAGTGTTTCAGAACTGCATATCCCTTATTACACTACAAGCAGTAGTACATCTAGTTACTATAACTGCATCCCGAGTTAAACATGTTCTCAGGCTGACAGGTGACGTGCTTATTAAACTCAGGATACAGGAAATATCTCCACGTCTGTATTGTAGCAATGTTGAAACATGACTGGGTTATAAATTATAAGCTCTGTATGAATGGGATTCTGGTGTAGATCCAGGGCTAGCATCACATTTTGTTGGTGCTGCTTATGACCATCCTGGTCCTGTTAACCCTCTTGTGCTGCAAGTCCCCGTATCTGCCGGGAGAAGCTCAGCTCTGCTGACTCTTCACGAGAAGCAAAGTCATCACAAGAGGAAGCAAAGCTTGTTCAGAAGAGGAAAAACTCCTGAAATAATTGCATCTTGATCATTTACTGTAGCCTGAATAAATGGAATTTTGGGGGGCTATTTTAGTTCAAGCTCCTGAACAACATATGAATAAAAATGGCAAACAATCCCCCACAAGAAACAAACCAGATACGAGAAAAAAACAACTATTTAACTGGAGAAACATCACAAAATGTCTCTTTTAGGACTAACTGCAAGAAGTTGTTCACTGTTGAAACATTAAAATCTAGCAAAAAGTAACAACTATCAAAGAAAAAAAAAGGGCAAAATTATTACTAGGAGGCCTACATAATTCTAAAAAAAACCTGAAGGAAACAAAGTCATTTTAGAGCCTTCGTTTTTCCTGAAGAGTAAGTTCCTAGTTGCTCTTTATTTTCCATTATCTCAGTTCACATGAGGACTCCACTGTGTGGACCAGTTCATGAGATGTGAGTCCTCTTCCAAAGGTCCTTCAGTCGTGGGAAACTGCAAAGCCTCTGCCTCATCCCTCAATTCAAAGCACATTGAATTCAAAGTGCCAAAGCGCTTTGGGATGCCACTTTAAATGGTCAGATAGGGAAGTGGAGTCAGTAGGCAATGACTCCTACCTGTTCCCTCCTGTACCCCCATTCCTATTGCTCGCAAAGAAAGCTTAGATGCCTTAACATAAAACAAATGGCCTAAACAATGAGCAAACAAAAGCAACAGCACTGCCACAGTGATAGGCACAACTCTCCCTGAGACTTTAATAAGCTATATATTCTATACAGTAAGAATTCTCTATTAATTCTTTGTTGATGATACATGGCTCTCTATTGGCGTTGCCAGTTTCTGCCTATCCCATGAGAAGTTTTCAGTACAATAAGTCAATAAGAAATTTTTCGCAGAAAATTGTCTAGAAATCAAGAATATCATAAGCAAATTAATAACTGTATTAAAACCCAAAGATACATCCAATAGGGGAAATCAGCTCTTTTGGGGTAGTTTCCGAGAGAACAGACTATTTCTTGTGTCACTTCCAATGAGGTACAGTTCCTATCTCTGTAGGGCTGAGGATCCAAACAACTCCTGTGCTAAGGAAAGATCTACACATTTGCCTTCTTTCTTACCTTCTGTGTTTTTCATAACACCAAACAGAAGAATACCTTCTAAACACAGAGCCAGCTACTGAGTTTGCACCCAGCAATGGAGTTAGACTCCATTAATTAGCCCTTACTGGTGCTTTCATTGTACTCTCACAGTTTAAAGTCAACAAATATATTTGAGAATTGAACTGCAGCAATCTGACATTGATCTCTGGATAGAGCAAAGCATATAAACACCTTCAGAACCGCATCAGTCGTTGACATCATTTCAAGACCAGCCCTAGAGTGCACCATAAGGAAAACACGCAATGGTCAATTATCAATATGGGTTTCATTCGCAACAAAATCCTACACAGCAGTGGTTAAAGCCAGCCAAATTCTGGAGGGTAACATCAAGGAGAAATTTTGACTATTTTTTTTTTTTATTTTCAGGGTCCTTGGCTTTATTTATATACACTAGGTTACCCAGAGGCTCTCTACCTTCAAGTACTCAGCTGACAGAGGTTGAGGGTTAGTTTTTGGGATGGTTCAGCAATCGGTCATCAGGACAGAATGGCTGTCCTGCTGAGAAAGCTACAAGAAGGGATTTATATTATTTTTTCTGACAGCATACACGTAGATATTCATTACTAAAAATAGATTAACAAAATAAACCATATATAGGACTTGTTAATTAAAATGAATGCATAGTTCACATGCATCGACAGATGAGTATTTGCCCTAAGGAGTATGAAGGACAACAGATGCCAGACAGCTCTTGAGTCCATAAAACAAAACAACAATTCCCTTGGCATACTGACAGAATCAGTTAGC